TAATAAAGGTCGGGGGAGGAAGGGAGAAGGCTGCGCTGAAAACGTCCAGCCCGGCCGGTTCCTCATCGCAGCCACGTCTGCCGGGGGCGGCCGGGGCGAGCCCGCCGCTGCCCGCGCCCGGGCGGGAGAGGGGGGGCTGCGGGCGGGCACCCACCCGCGCTGCCGTCGGGACACGCGTTCGTTTGTGGGCCTGCGGCGAGGCTGAAGCAGCCGGGTTTGCGTGTAAAGCCCAGGAAAAAAAACCAAACCAAACCCAACCAAACAACAAACAAACAAGCAAAAAGGTAAAAAACAGGCGAAAGCGATGCGGCGCTGCCGGGGCCGGGCGCTGCCCGTGTTCCCGGCGGAGGCGGCGGCGGGGCCGCCCGCACGTACCGCGACCGCCGCCGCCCGGCCCCGCTCCGCTCCCTCCTGCCCGAAATTCTCCGCGGTTTGGGTCAGAATAACCCGTTTAGAAATCAACAGCTGTAACTGGAGGGGGGGGGGGGCTGGGGAGGACCACTGCACAGTAGGCACCGGTACGCTGCAATAAAGCAGCTTTTGAAGAAAGACCTCTCCCTTCGCCTCACGGGGACATGCTAACGTTTACGTACAAGGTAGTAGTTACCCGGTTTTATTTGTTTGTTGGTGCGGGGGGGAGAAGTGACCGGAGGTGCGAGGCGGGAAGGCGCAGGCGCGATACCCCCAGCCCTCCGTACCTCAGGGGGCGGCCGGCGGGAACGTCCGTCGGTCTCTGCGTCTGGAGCAGGCGGAGGATCGGTAGTGGTAAATGCAGACGGTGTGTCATGGCTGCGTAGCCGGCCTCAGTGAGGAAAGTTCCAGGTGAAAACCCGGGAAGAGTTGACTTTCCGCCTGGGACCGGAGCGAGCCGGGCTCCGCCGTGCCCGCGCCGCCGCAGACGTGAGGGGGTCGGTTCCCTCAGGGGCTTCTGAGGCGCCGGGGCCACCGGCGCCCAGCGGGCCCTTTGGTCTGGAAACCCCCTGGACATTGGGAAGGGCTTTTCCAGACGTTTCTGAAGTGCGCTCGGTGGCCTTCAGCAAGCAGTCTTAGGTCTGACATCTGAAAAAGATGAATATTAATTCACCTATTTGATATTTCCATATATGCTATTCTTGACTGCACGTTTGATACACTGGCTATAGCAGCACAACTAAGTTTGCGGACGATTGCTACGACAAAGGCATTAGGATAGACTAGAATTCAAGGTTGAAGTTTGTACTTTTTATTTCTGTATTGGCATTGATATAAGGAGCATCTTTAGCAGTTCGTCTTTAGCAGTGGCAGATTCATAACAAGCATTATTTTTTCCATAATTACATTTGGGGTTTGGTTTTTAATGCATAACTGGGGTACGGAGCACAAGAAGTGGGACTCAGGTGTGCGTAAAATTCAGGTTGAAAAGTCCTATTGTTTCATGACCGACACTCCAGAGTGAATGACCCCAGTTTACGTAGGTGACCTGTCTCACTCAGAGTTTTTTCTGAAATCCTCTGAATTGCTTTTCAAAACTACATCCCTTCTGGAAATTTTCCCTGGTAATTTCAATGTAATTACAGGGGCATTTAGTTAGAATAAATGCACTAACGCCACTTGTCCATCCCATCTCTCAACTACAGGTTGCTGTTTCTACGGGCTGGCACGTCTTACTCTTCAGCTATTCCTATGCATCGTGTAGCATATTAGCTTTAATTTCTGAAATAAGTGAGTTTTCAGTGACGCAGCGGGCTCTGAATTTGGACAGTTGAAGCATAGCACATGGTCTCTTGTTCCGCCAAGTAATTTCAGGCAGAACGTAGGGGTGGACAGATAGGGACAGCAGCATCTTCAGCAACTGCAGTAGATTTGCCGGAGGATGCTTGCTTAAGTCATCTCTGTAGAATAATTCTATCACAATGAAAGAAAAAATTATCTCGTTTTACCTCTCCCGTTCCTTTTCTTCTGTCATGTCAACCTGCCCCATCTCTATTTTACCATGTTTATCTTCTAGTTTGAGGTCTCTGCTGGGAATGCTTTGCTAATATACAAAGTAGACCAACAAAATAGCGCTAATATTAGCATCTCCCCTGCCTGCTAAACTATGTTTTGCCAGCATACCTTGTTCCAGCCATCTTTTTCCTCCAAGAAAAATAAATTGTGCCGGTTAATGGTCAGATTTCTCAAAATATACTATCTATGTGAGGGGCATTTGCCATCAGTTATGTCAGTCCTAAAATGTTACCTCCATCCACCCTAAACTGGCAGAGACATGCCTAGAAAATTATAGACGTTGCTTATGAAAATGATGAAGTTTAGTTTAGATATTGCAAATACAGTTTTGCCAGCACAGAGCGCTACTGATTTCGTGTTTCCATGCTTCAGGTACTTGGGGTTCCTTAGCTGTATGTCAAAAAAAAAGAAAAGAGAGTGCGATTATTTCATTTATGTATTAACGTATTTAAACTCCGTGTTTTGGTTACTGAACTTCATGGATAGATGATAAACAGTGGGCAGCAACAATACATTTTGTGAACAATGAACTTCTCAAGCCATCACTGAATTTTTCTTGGGAAGACTGTCTGCTTGAATAGTAGTTAAATGGTCAGATAAAAGTATTACTTCTAGGGGCATGCAACTGTTTTTAGTTACATGTGGAAGCCTGATTCTACAAGCCCAGCACACACAGGATCCAGTTACTTTTTTGGTGGGTTTTTTTGCCCCACATTAGGGGGATTGGAGGACCAGGCCCTATGAATATGTAGCTGTATTTAAATACTGCCCAAAGTCGCAGCCAGGCTACTCAGAAAGCACGTTCTGAGAGGCTGGATGCACGAGTAGGTTGAATTTCAAAATTTGTCACGTCCTTTAAAGATATGTTTTTGTTTGTTCTTAGTCTAAATCTCATTTTGAAATCCCTTTCAATTTCGAGCTAAGGAGTAACAGTTGAAAGGGATGTGCTTGATGTTTGGCTTGGCTGTTGCCTTCTACCTGTTGCCAGGATCACAGAGCTGATGGTAGTGAAGCCATGGGAAAAAAGTGTAGGGAAAGATTATGCAACACGTTCTTAGACTATCAAGAGTACAGTTATCTGTTCCAACAAAATAGAGTGATTTATATTTTGATGTCCTTGAACTTGTACATAAATAGGTGAAGTCAGTTTATTCCCTTGTACGTTTATTTGCATGCTTCTGTCATTCTGGTTATACATTTCATAACCTTACTGTAAGAGGACACGAACTCCCATCAACTCCTTTCTCTCCAACCTTTCTCAGCTCCTTTGCGTGCTAATGTACCGTGACTGTGCTACTACCCGGTTGTGAAGTCTGTGTTACTTGGAAGGGAGGACCGGCTTATCTTTCCAGATAGTTTTATAAAACGGTTTGTTGATGCTACTCCTTTAGTAACTCCTGACAGCATGCTTTGTCCCTGTGTAGCATGAGTAACGCTAAGGGATACCGTTGCCCTACCCCCTTAAACTGGGGCTGCCAATTTTCTGCCAATTTTTTTGTTCCCCCTGGCCTTGTGAAAACAATTACGGGTGGCTTTGTACATGAGGGAAAGGTATTCAGGAATCATAAGACCCTGAAAATACTTCTTTCTTAAGTAAAGATTACTTGCCTGAGTGAATATTGCACCCACAGATTTCCAGAGAATTCCAGGTTAAAGAAATTGGGGTTACGGTTATGCAACTTTGTGCATATTCAGTGATTCTTGAAGCTAATAGTACTTTTATAAATTATTTCAAATACATAGGGAAACAACGTCAATGTTATTAGCTTGTACGTTCGTCTTTGGGAGGGGAACAAAGCTAAGGAGAAGCTGGAGCGTGCCCGATTTCCAGTTTGTTTGTTTGTTTGTTTGTTTGACAAAGACTTGGGTATTTTTCTGCGTTTTGGACCACGTCTTCCTCACAGTCTGTATTTCCAGGGGCAAGTAGAGAACCCCGCGGCCCGTCAGCAGGCCGGTACACTGGGAGCATTTGGAGGAGACGCTCCGGAGAGAAGTTCCCGCGGTCCGAAGCGGGGGGACGGG